TTGTTAGTTTCTCAGAGAGAGTGTTCATTTGATCCGAATATGGTCGATCAATTTCACTTACAATACGCGACCTTCCATTGTTAGTTCAAAAGCAAAATGAAATTAAGAAGGGTGAGTCTATCGACACAAAAGTAAGCAAAATAAAGTCGCTTTTCCACAAATCAATTTATTTTAGAGAAAATCAAATACTGTTTCTAAAAAGTCAGTTTCACTTTCTGTAAAATCAGTTTAGAGAAAGTCAGAAAACGTTTTCTATTACTTAAACAATCAAGACGATTTTTCGAACTATTTTCATAATCAACGTTCTTGAAAATCGCCTAGATTTTTAACAAAGTAGAAAATAAGCATTTTCAATATTCTTATAAAATTGTTCACGATTTCATGAACGCTGTAAAATCATTTTAAATTTTCAAAGTCGATTTTTTAATAATTAGAAAATAAGTCAAATTAACTGTGTAGAGCGCGAGAGCGAATGCTTTTGTAAAATTGTACACATCGTATTTTCAGAAAGTAAGTGGAATGGTGAAACACTATGCTATGTAGCGTCAAATGATGTGATGAAGGCAAAAAGCTGCACCTAGGACTGCAGCCAAGACTTTCTTCGTCCCTGTCATTTCTCTGTGCCCGGCTAGCTCAGTCGGTAGAGCATGGGACTCTTAATCCCAGGGTCGTGGGTTCGAGCCCCACGTTGGGCGTCTGCTTTTTCGTCTTTTTCTGCTCGGCAAATATATTGAAATCAGAAGGACATCATTTCATCACAATCAGCACTAAAACATACAGCAGATGGCATTAATGTTCTATAATAGATCATTTACATAAATACTACAGGAAAAGAAAAACCAAGACACATTGCAATCAATCCATTGAGGAAAGAAAAGAAGATGACTTTGAGACAGAAATACTTAACGAAAAGGGTGGATGAGTACAACAAAATCGCATGTTGTAACGATAACTATTCTTTACCTGATATTGATATGCATATTTCGAATTATAAGCATGATCTCACACATATACTTCTATTAATTCAACACTGGTAGACTTTGACCATCAAAACATCTCTTTCAACGGTTACATGTCGGATGTAAACCATCAAGTATGAAGTTCTAGCTTAGCAGCCATTTTTTTAGAAGACACTTTAGGCCATTTATCTGCGTAAAAAAGAATATATGTTTACTTCAAGTTTTGGAGATTGTCCTTCAAAGACTGGGTAGATACATCGTCTTCGAGTGGTATATTTAATCCTGCTGGATAGTAGAGTAATTTTGTACTAGTAATACATAAAATTCTTACTTTATTGATTATATTTCACGTCATTTAGTTTAATGATAAAAACCAATGATCAGTTGTTTGATCAAAATTAAACGTCGATTATAGTAAGCTTCAACTCGTAGAAATAATGTTTCCATGTATGGATCATAAGTCATACTGTTTACAGGGGCGCAAATAACGAGGGATGTGGGGGGGTGCGCATCCCCCGAATAATTGGAATTTTTTTGTTCCGTACTATGACTGTTTTAAAAGATTCGCATTTTTTCTTATCAATTTCACACTACCTCAGAGAGAAATTTTGGTTTACACCCCCCCTAATGTTCGGCTCCTATTTGCGGCCCTGACTGTTTATATACCTGAATTAATCATAACTCATTTTATTTATTTAGATCTTTGCTTTGCCTTTTAAAATGAAAAATACGTATTAATTCATTCCGCATGTATGACTAACAATTAAATTCGTTACATTCGTGAATGAATCGGTTGAAGAATTGAACGCATATCACCGGAATAAAAAAAATGAAGTTGGTATAGCTACACCCAAACTACGTGGCGTCCATGTACATCTGCTACACATAAAGCTGTCTTCAAACATCGCTAAGAATGATGGTACACCATACGACAAACTAAGTAATATACGCTATAAAAGAAATTATCCACTGCCCAGGTCATTAGTTCTGGTGACCGTTTCGGCGTTGCAACCGGTCTTTTCCGGCTGTAATCCGATGAATCTCAGGCGGGTTTCGGCACTGTTTAAGGCCGGAACCGACACAAAAATGACCGGATCTTTGCAACCGTAATTTGAGGCGGAGTTTCACCGAATTAGTTAGTTTACTTCGCTTTAACGAACGAGCTTTAAAGGAAACTGAGAAGTCTCTCAGTTTTTAATTCGTCATCATCATACAAAATTTTTAAAACTTCTCGCCATACTTTTTGGCATACACATCCAATAAATTCTCTTCATTAAAAATCTGTGAAAAGTGAAAAAGAAAAAATTATTACTACTCCAACAAAACTTCAAGAGACTATATTACTACTTACGACTTCATCGGGGAAGTTTTCTTTCTCACTTCCATCTCGATATAATGCCAGCTGTTGATCTTTCTAGAAAAAAAGATTTCGATAAAGGTGTTGTTTTTTTCAAAGAATAAGCAAGAAAATCTTACAACTGCCGTGACGATAAAACTTGATCAATCTTTTTACTAATTGCAATCAATTTGCTTGCAAAATCATTCTGCAATCTTACCGAATGAAGATCGATCGCCGTATATAAAGTATCTAAACAAAAAATTACAAAGAACAATTTTACTATATTAACTATGGGCAGATCTGCACATATACAGACATAAGCTTGCTTGTGGATCAACTGACTCAGGTGTATCCACATTCGTACTAGCATCACGTTTATCTAACATCACGATCTCCAGATCTTGATGTTAATCAATCATCTTCTTGATTGTTCTACAATGAAATCGTGATTAAAGGGAAACTCCTTGTGAAGATGCTATAGAAAAACAGGCTTGTAAATGTCTCTAATCAGCATTTGTAAACGTGAACCAGTCGTGGGTTTTAAAATTACATTCCGTTATCTCCGGTAGTAACTTTTCTCAATTTTTACATACTCGGCTTTCTTAACGGACTAATGCGATTCGTATGAAGACATGAGAGAAAATACAAGATGCTCCTTACCGCCATCATTGGTCGAAAAACTACTTCTGCGTGCATTTGATGATGATTGAGCAACATATCCTGAATGGTGAACATTATGAGGCGTTTGTATATGTTTAATTTCTGAACGACTTCGATGAACGACCATATCGTTTGAATCATCAAAAAAACGTAAAGAAAAGAAACTATTGCGCAAAAAGAAAGAAAATATAAGTGTCGACTAATCATGAGACTCAACAACATGACGCCGAGGAAGTGGTGGTTGTGTTGCATATTTTGACTGATTTAGACGTGACAACGTTCCTAGAACAAAAAATACAAGAAAAATAATAACAGATCTTCTGTCTCAGATTAAAGAGCCTAATTTTAAATTAAAATTCTTGCCTTCATTTATAGAATTCCAAATATATATACATTTTTAAAAAGTAAAACGCGTTTTTCAAATTTCATTTCTAGTCAAAACGCGTTCAATTCGTCTCAATTGAGTCCCAAACACGAAAAATTCAATACCGAGTCTTGAAGTCTATTGCGACTGAAAACGCGTTTTTAAAAAGTTATGATGGTCATAAACGCGTTTCTCGCGAATTATGGATGGCAAAACGCGGTTTTGATTAAGACGTATATTAGAAGGTCAAGAAATTCGCCCTATTCATGGTGAAACTGTATATTCTCGCGCTCTATGAATTCGAAAACCGCGTTAAAACGAATTTTCAAAACATAAAGGTCACTGACTGGGTAGCTATTGAAAGTAGTCCATATTTACCATATCATTTGAAGTTTTATGGAATTACCGGAGACTGTCCTGCCCTAAAGCTTATTTTGAATTTTATTGGACGAAATTCTAAAACCTCTAATTAAGTAGTTCCCATTGGACGTATCTGCAAAGGTCGCTATAATCAATATTGGTTTATTAAGGAATGAAACACCGAGAGTTCATTCCTATTGATTTGATAGTCGATATGTATTGTAGTGATATAACGCGCTTTTTTCGTCGAAACGCTTTAGAAGATAATGTATATTGTACCGCTCTACTTTGTCTTAAATTAGCAATCCTTAGAAAGTAATAATACTCCGTATGTCTGAAATACTCAACCTTATGAGTTTCAGATGTATTGCAGAGAACGCAGCTTAAAATTTTATATCATTCATCGAAAACAGCTTGGGTTTTATTTTTAAATACAGACATATAATCGATGATTCAAATAATAAGCATTTTCTAAAACTATAAGAACTTCCAAACTAAAACTGGATAGTGATGGACGTAAAAGTATAAATAAACCTGTGTATGTAAACGAAATTATAAATGTAAATAAGCTCAGCATGATATAACATCAACACACAAGCCGAGGTCGTTAGGACAAAACGTACCAGGCGGGCAATCGGCATCGTCGATAGAACCTGTGATGAGCTGTGCGACAGCTGTACAAGTTGTTGTTGGTGTTGATGATGTTGTGCTAGTGCTAGATGATGCAGCACTTGTTCCAGTACCGGCAATCGTTGCTGTTGATTGTGAAGATGGATCTATTACAAATAACATGCTTGTTTCTAAGTAGAATGATATGATGAAACTTTCTTTAAATCAAAACTTATGTGCATGATACTTTGCCACAGTTTGGGTTCTTCAGACTAGCCTGTGAAATCGAGCATTTGTATTTCACACCTCAAAAGGAATTCGTTCTAAAGGTGCTATTGGTGATGCTGTTCTTTATTCTTTTCAGACTCTTCACAACCTCCTACTTGTCTTCCTGTTTCTTTCGGATGTTTTCATTCGGAAAGCTTGAGATTCAAACGCTGATAGTTTATTGTTACATTGTATCAAAAGTGGGTGTTTGCGTCCACATGCGCACTTCAAAAACAGTTAGGAAGCTCTTTTCAATCAAAACTTGCGAGTATAGGACTTAATATTTTACACATTTATTCTCATCTAATATTCTACTTTTTTCTTGCCTTTCCTTTTATTTTCACCTATTCTTTCTCCTATCGAACCGCAACAACAAGATCAGTCTGTTTTCTTTTCTTATGACTTCACTCGGCAATAAATATTAAATAAACACTTTGATTGACTGCAGGTTCTGGGGTATTGAATGGGAAGAGCTGTAGTATCGCAATATACGCGGAAATCGCAGAGGCATAAAGTGTCGTGGAGTAATGTCGCGATAAATCTGCGCACTTCTTATTGACACTTCTACATCTTTATCATTTGTGAAACGAAATTAATCATATAATCATCCTCTAGTATGATAACAATATCATTCAAATTGTTATTACACCATTTATCTACCGCTTTTCTTATTACTTCTTCAATTCAACTAGGGGATTATCGATACTTCGATACTGATACCGATACTTTCAAAAAAAATTTTCGAGACTTTGGATACCGATACCGCGTTTGGTATCGAATTGAACGATACTTCGATGCCGATACTAAAAGTGGTATCGAGCGCTCGATACTGATACCGCCTCGGTATCGGTATGGTTAACTTTTAAATCAAGAACGGAATAATGGGGTAATACTAAAACGCTGAATTTTTTTACTGAATGCTGAATTGCTGAACTACGCTGATGGGCCGACTTCAAAACATGGATTTCTGCTGATAAATTCAGGATTATGATCGATAGACATACTAATTTGTACTTTTCTGAAAAACTAAAAATGATACAAGGTTGATTCTTGCGGCAGTCTGTGATTATAGATTCTTGCGCACATTTCTGTTAAAAAACTTTTTTCTAGAAGCTTTCTTTTCCTCAATCACTGCATTTTATCAACGTGACGCTGTGACACACTTTTTTGTCAGTGTATTTTCTGCCACTCAGCGACCTCAAAAGATTATTTTTGCCACAGATCTTTGTATATTCTCCCGATTAATGTGAAAATTGGAGCGGGAAACTTTTTTCGCCTGCTGGGAACTTGTCAGAAACCTGGAGAGCTCTGGAAGGCATAGGTTTGGATCAGAAAATTAACTTTCAAACAAAATGAGCCATTTTGTAGAGAATTTAATTCTCTGTCGAATGATGCAATTTTTTAACTTTTTAAACAAATTTTCTAGGTCAGAAAATCGAAATTAAACTTTTTA